AGCATGGGGTTTGCATAAGCCTTCTCGTCTTACCAGCACACATCTCCCAAAGACAAAGAGTGGTTCAGAGATTGAAGCTGAACTCTGAGCTCCACATAAAGAAGAGAAACATTTCTCTGCATGCAGTGAGCGCTACACAACTCTCCACCCACCAATGAGGATATGTTTTCACCTTCCTTCTGTTCTAGAGGCAGAACAATGAGGGGGCTTCACGAGGCCCTAATGAAAGATCTGGCTGGAGTTCTGGAAAGACCACGGTCCTGTACCTGGAGCTTGAATACACCCCCACATGGGAGGCCTCCCAGGACTCTGTCCAGACGGGAGGGAGCAGAGTGATTTATCATCTTCCTGTCCAAGCAACTGACTTTCCGAGTTGCATGAGGGAAACTGAGGTTTAAGCGACTTGTGTAGATGCACCTTCCAGAACTGATTTCCACTGCTTTCTGTGCACACCCCTTCTGTTAGTTAATAATAGTGCTTGCTTCAGCCTTGTGCAAAACGTTCCTCTCTAAACCTGTAGTTCTCAAAAAGGGGCAGTTTTGCCCTCCAGGAAACATTTGTTGATGTCTGGAGGCATTTTCGGTTATCATAGGCTGGGGTTGGGGTGGACTGGGGGGGAGAAGTTGCTGGCATCTCTGGATAGAGGCCAGAGATCCTGCTGAATATTGTATGACACAGAAGGCCACTGCCCACGAGAAAGAATTATCCAGCTCCAAATACCCGTAGTGATGCTATTGAGAAATTCTGTTCTAAGTGCTTGGAAAGAATAGGGTTTTCCTTCATCTATGACCAGTATTCACTAGCTTCTCACTCTCATGTCACTCCTGAATTTTACTTTGAAAATTCATCAGCCAGAGGCACCTGGGTGGCTTGGTTAAACATCAGACTCTTGATTTTGGCTCAGTACGATCTCAGGGTTGTGAGTTCAAGTCCTGTATCAGGCTCCCTGTTCGGCGGGGAGTCTGCTTCTTCCTCTCCTTCTACCCCTCCGCCATGCTCATGCTCTATCTCTCTCAAATAAATAAATAAAATCTTTTAAAAAATTCATCAACCAATCTTCCTACAAATCCTCTTCCAGAAGCAGAGTAGAAGTAATAATGGCATTTACTGAGTTCTTCCTGTGTGCCACGTTCTGGAACAAGGGGTTTACATACTTTTGTCACTATTCCCCATTTTTCAGAAGAGAAAATTGAGGCTCCAGGCAATTAAGTAGGTTGCAAATGTCCATAAAACTTAAAATCTCAGAGGGAATCAATCATTCCAAAGTTTCAGCTCTTTAACTCAGTGCCTTTCTCTTTCTCTCTTTCTTTCTCTCTCTTTCTTTCTCTCTCTCTCTTTCTTTCTTTTTAAAATAAGCTCTTTGCACACTGTGGAGCTTGAACTCACAACCGCAAGATGGAGTCACATGCTCCACCGATTGAGCCAGCCAGGTGCCCTCACTCAATGACTTTCTAAGGAAACCAACAGTGTTCAATTCATTAAGCAATTGCTTTATACTCAGAATTCTATTTTTCATCGTGAGAATTTTTCATCTTCTGACAAAAAAATATTTGTTACATAAATATGACTTTGTAATTATGGTCATCCATCACTTAGAACAAACTTTATAGATTTTTTTATAGATACATTTTTAAAATTCCCTACTTTCCATGAAAAGCTATGTACTTTATATATACGTTTTATAAGACTTTATTTATTTAGGGGCGCCTGGGTGGCTCAGTCATTAAGTGTCTGCCTTTGGCTCCGGTCATGATACTGGGGTCCTGGGATTGAGTCCTGCATTGGGCTCCCTGCTCAGCCGGAAGCCTGCTTTCCCTCTCCCACTCCCCCTGCTTGTGTTCCTGTTCTCGCTGTCTCTCTCTCTCTCTGTGTGTCAAATAAATAAATAAAATCTTTTTAAAAAAGATTTTATCTATTTATTTGTGTGTGTGTGAGAGAGAGAGAGAGAGAGAGAGAGAGAGAGACCACATGAGAGCATGAACAGGGGGAATGGCAGAGGGGGAAGCAGATTCCCAGCTGAGCAGGGAGAACCACACCAGGCTCGATCCCTGGACCCTGGGATCATGACCTGATCTGAAGGCAGATGCTTAATGGACTGAGCCACCCAGGCGCCCTGTCGTCTCTATATTTTAGACTCAAATTTAAGGAATCTTTTCATTTTTGGAACTTTCAGACTAATGCATATAATGCTTTCAGTGGCAGAACCAGAAGCTTGCTCTATCCTGAGGAGCCCGTATTAAGAAACATGAAGGAAAACAAGCAACACTCTGTAACATTTTCAAGAGCATATTGAATTTTTTTTAATTTACGTGCCTCCTCCATTGTCTTGTGTATTCATTTTCTAATGCTACATAGCAAATTAAACAATTTAAGAAGCTGTCATTTATTAGCTTACAAGTCTGTTAAGCCAGGACTTCGGTCAAAGCCACTACCTAACTGAATTCTCTGCTCAGGGTCTCTCAAGGCTTACATCATGGTGTCAGTCAGGCTGACTTCTCCTCTGGAGACTGCAGGAACCCCGCTTTCAAACTCATTGAGGTTATTGGCAGAATTCAGTTCCTTGAAGTCATAAGACTGAAGTCTCATTTCCTTGCTGACTGTTGGTAAGGGTTTGCTCTCAGCTCCTGGATTTGGCTGCCTGTCCTTGCCAGATGGCCCCTTCCTTCTCCAGCATTATTAATGGAGAATCTCCCTGATGATGAATCTACCTTATGCTTCGAATCTCTCTTCAGGAAAAGCCCAGTCCCTTTTAATGTCTCCCCTGATTAGGCCAGGCCCACTAAGGACAATCTCCCTATCTTAAGGTCAATTGATTTGAAATCTTATTTACATCTGTAAAATCCCTCACAGCAATACCTAGATTAGTGTTTGAATAATTGGGAGAAGGTACGTGAATATTAAGCAGGCATGGAGCTTGGGGATCAACTTAGAACCCTGCCTAGTTTATAGTCTATAAGTTCCTTGGTGGCAAAAATTGGGCCTCGTATGTGTGGTACCCAATAGATGATCCATAAATGTTCATTAAACTCAATTGTTTTAAAGGAATTGGGAAATTCTGAAGTCAGGAAATGGTTACATGGGAGCATTAACTTACAGGTGAAGACAAGCTCCCAACAGGGAAAAGATAATAGGTAGTGCTGAGAATGCCTTTGCGCTGATCACCATCCTGACCTCTGCCTCTACCAAAAGATTAAGGGGAGTTTCTACTTTCAGTATGGGAATGTAGCTGTGATTTATTTATTTTCATTTTTAAAATTTTTATTTATTTATTTTATATAATGTATTACTTGTTTCAGGGGTACAGGTCTGTGAATCATCAGTCTTACACAATTCACAGCCCTCACCATACTACATACCCTCCCCAATGTCCATCACCCAGCCACCCCATCTCTCCCACCCCCTCCATTTCAGCAACCCTCGTTTTATTTCCTGAGATTAAGAGTCTCTTATGGTTTGTCTCCCTTTCTGGTTTTGTTTCATTTTTTCCTTTCTTCCCCTATGCTCTTCTGTCTTGTTTCTCAAATTCCACATATCAGTGAGATCATATGGTAACTGTGTTTCTCTGAGCGACTTACTTCACTTACATAACACCCTTTAGTTCCATCCACATTTGTGCAAATGGCAAGATTTCATTTTTCATGGCCACATAATATTCTACTATATATATGTATATATATACATACATACATATATATGCACAACACATCTTCTTTATTCATTCATCTGTTATCTGTTGATGGACATCTGGGCTCTTTCCATAGTTGGCTGTTGTGGACATTGTGCAGCTGTGATTTAGTAAGGGAAATCAAGGGGAAAAGAATCCCTATCCCTGAAATGTGCAATAGACCAATTTTCTAGAATCATACCCATTCTATTGAGTAAAGGGTGTGTTCAGAGGCTTGATGGTGTCCTGAGCTTCCCTTGGCTAGCCTGTCATCCCTTTCAGGGTGGAACTACACTTTGTTCATATTTATATCCCTAGGGCTAGCACAGTGCCCGGTTCAAAAGATCAACTTTAAAGACAAAAGCTGATCGAATGTTTGTAGAATGAATGCTATTTAACGTGTCTCTGCTAGTAGGCATTCAGTTCCTATGGGCGAGGGCTCTTCCAATGCATTTTTTGCAATCCGGCAATGCCTCTCCCATTCCTGGCAACCAGTGAGCATTCAACAGGTGCAATCATTGGGTTGTGTACACTTGTTTTAAAATGTACTTTCTCCTTTCCAAACTAGTAGTTGGTCATTTTAAGTTATACAATATGATCTGAATGTGAATAATATTCAAGCTAGTAGTCTTATGAGACTTATTTCTAAGAAATATTCAGCTTACGGTCACGCACAAAAAAAAGAAAGAAAAAAGAACACCCCCCCCCCAACCTTTCATCTTCCTTTCAAATGGATACTCATATCAGTGGCTACTAAATGTATTTAGGATAAACTTTTTTTACATCAGTCGGAGGAGAGAGCTTTGATTTCTGAAAAAGAAAAGCTCTGTTTCCCTTAGATTTTCTCAACTCCTCCATCGCTAGCCTCAGACAAGGTACAAGTTATCTGCAATTCTGTGGGCGTCCCCTGCACTTAAATGGCATTCGGAAAAACACTTTTCCCAACGAGGACTTCTAACTACGAATAAACGCTAGACAGGACTACGAGCTTTGCCCACTTCACTGTAAACTATAAAGTCGCGGATTTCGGGTCCGCGCTGTGACGTCACCCGGTTGGTGGACCACGGCGCCCGTCTCAGCCTCCGGTGATTGGCTGGGGCGCGTGACGTCATGGGACGGGGTGGTCCCGGGCTCCGGAGGACTCCGGGATGCTCCGATGCTCTGGGTTCGCTTATAAAAAAAAAAAAAGAAAGAAAAAAAGAAAGAAAGAAAAATAAATAAATAAAAAGGGTGGTGGGGGCGAACCGAGGAGTCCGCCCCGCCCCGCCCGCCCGCCCGCCGCAAACCGCGCCGCCCGAGAGGGGCGGGCTGGGAGGCGGGGCGGGGAGGAGCCGGGCGCGGCGCCGCGCCGTCCAGGCCGCCGCCCACCCCGTACACACAGCATGTAAACAGTCCCCGCCGGGAGGAGCCCCGGGACCGGAGGGAGCCGCGCCGCCCGGCCCCGCCGCCTGCCCGAGAGCCCGCGGAGCCGCGCGCTGGCCGCCCGGGAGGAGGGCGCCCGAGGAGAGAGAAGGGCGGGCGGGCGGCGGAGGGAGCGGGAGGCGGGCAGCGCGCGAGGAGGCTGAGCGAGCGGCGGGCGCGGTGGGCCAGGATGGATTTCCAGCAGCTGGCTGACGTTGCGGAGAAATGGTGCTCCAACACGCCCTTCGAGCTCATCGCCACAGAGGAGACCGAGCGCAGGATGGATTTCTACGCCGACCCCGGCGTCTCCTTTTACGTGCTGTGTCCGGACAACGGCTGCGGGGACAATTTTGTGAGTGCCGGGGGGGAGGGACGGCTGCAGCGCTCGGGAGTGGACGCGCGGCCGCCTCCCTGCGCCCGAGCTGCCGCACGCCGGGGAGGCTGTGGGCGCGGGGTGGGGGCGTAACCGGCCCCGTGCGGCGGTGTCAGCGCTGCAGGGGCGGGAGGGGCGGAGGGCGGCGGGCAGGGGCGCCCTTAGGACCAGGGAGCCCGACTGGGGCGGGCTGTTTCGGGGACGCGACCCTGCGGCCCGTGCTTGGTGCTCTGCTGGGAGCTTCTGCCGAGCGTCCCCGCCGCTCACCAGCCCGGGCCGGGGCGCACGGACTGTCCCGCAGGGCCCGGAGTCTCGAGCTTCCTCCACCCGGGCGTCCCGTCGGGGTGAGGAATCCCGTTCTCCTCCCGATGCGCAGACACAACTCCTCGAGTCACCGCGCCGGCCCGGGAGAGCCCCCGCCCCCGTGTGATCCCCTGCGCTGCCGGTTTGGACACAAAGCCTCTGTCCACGCTAGCGATGCCCCATCTTCTGGACCTTCTTTGCGGAATTACACCCCGGATCTTAAAAACGCACACGCGCGCGCGCGCGCGCGTGCACACACACACACACACACACACACTCACTCACGCGCGCGCGCGCGCGCGGGCACGCCTATCCCTCCCGACACTGCTCCTGTGCTTCCATTGCTCCTGTGTGAGCTTCCAGCGAGGTGTGCGGGGCCCGAGCGGGTTCCGTCCGGCGGAGGCGGCAGCCGAGGCCTTGGGGGAGCACCCCTACCCCCCAGGCTTTTCCAGATAAGGGGAAATCCCCCCTATCCCAGCCCACTCCCGCCTGGAGCTGGAAGGGACCGGGACCTGGAACTGCGGTGTCCACATCTTCCACTTTGTATCCTGCGCCCACTTGGGATCTTGGGGCTGGCAGTTTAGGAAGAAGATGTGGCGGACAGGGGAGTTGGGGTGGGAAGTGCGGAGGATGGGCGAGGATGGCGCTCCAAGAAGTGTTTGTAAGGGCGGGGGAAAAAATAATGGTCCCCAAATGTAAGATGGAGGCGGCTGTGGGCTCGGGTTACCGTGTGGTCGCCGGCTGGAGCCTGGAGCTGGCGCTGCCGCCACCCCTGCGGACCGAGGTGGGGCGGCGCCGAGGCGCGGCCTGGCGCTGGCTCCTCAGGTGGGGCGAGACAAAGGTGCCCCCTGCACCCCGCGGCAAGTTCGTGGAGGAGTTAGAGAGACAGCCCGATCCCCTTATTTGGCACCTGAGAGGCGAAGGCTTGTGTGCGGCTTGCCGGGAAGGCGTGCCCCTGCCCCTCCCCGCCCCCACGCCCGTATCCCCGCGGAGAAGAACACACCTGGGCCCCAAAGTGCGACACTAGAAAAGAGATGGCCTTGGGTGACAGCCAGATTTGAGTTCTGCCTGTGTGACTCTGGTCAGATGCCTTCTGGCAGCTCAGTTTACACATCAAAAAAATGGGTATGATACCAGCACCCAGGGGATCCACAGATCAAACACCTAATCATCTCTTTGCAACAGCAAAGGCCCTTCAGAGACCTGGGCGTCCCCCAAGTTTAGAGCTTGTCTTTCTTTTTTAAGAGCCTCAATTTTCTCACCTGTAAAATGAGATTAATCAGAACACCTCCATCATGGGGACTTGTGAAGAGCAAGTAAACTCTAAATATAGGTAAGAACACTGCTAACTGCAGTTAAAATAGTGTTATTTGTTGTTGGGGAAAATGGGAGATCATTAAAAAGGGATTTACTCCATTGCAAACATGTGAGAAAACCCCAGAGTTCTACTGGAAAGGGCACCGGTGTCCAACTGACTGCCTCCTTAAGAGTTTGGGAATCCCTTCTAACCCTAGTCTGCCAGTGGCCTTTCCAGCTCCTTACTGTGTGAGATAGCAAGATCACCCAAGGTTCTGGATTTTATGGGGGAGAGCTCCACACAACCTTCTTGCTAGAACTGCAGGAGACATCCCCAAAGGAATTACTCCATGGAGAATCATCGTTGAGAAACATTATGTATATCACAATTTTTCAAGGCCATTCATAATATTAAATGTTTTCCCACCTGTGTGAGTAAAATGCTTAAACATGATCACTCTCTAACAATTAAATCAAATAGGTAAGGAAGAAAGTGGATGGAAGGAAAAAGTAATTTCTTGGGTAGACTGGAACATTCTTAAAGTTTCTGGAGGCCATGATGGACAACATGCCAACCACCAGAATTTCCTTGGCCCAGATCTCTCCTCAGATCTTTCGCAGGCCAGGTTTGTCAAGCTGCCCTTTGCCTCTAGTTAAAGGGACTCAGGCATGAAGTGAGTGTCCTACCTCCGTCCTTTTCGTTTCCCCAGGAAAATCCTTTTAAGCATTAGAAGAAATTTGAGATGAATGGAACTCCCGTAACCCAAAGGATTTATTAACAAGAAGAATATTTACATAGCATTTCTCAATTTACAAAGTGTTTTCACGTGACTCATTCGCTCATTCATTTATTCATCAAACATTTATTGAGGCTTACTTTGAATCAGGCCAGGGCTACCTAGAATATAAATAGTATTTCTGCCCTCACTTTCTTGGGGCCATTCTCCCCATCTAAGAGGCAGTGTGGCACATTGGTCGGGGTGCTCAGGCTCGTGGGTCAACCCCCCCCCACCAGCCCCCATGTCTTACTGTGTGTATTGGGGAGAGTTCTTTAATCCCTTCATGCCATGACTTCCACATCTTTAAACAGGGGAATGATGACATTAGTTCCCATCAGGCTTGTTTAGAACAGTGCCTCAAATAAGGATGGCACTATTAGTGACTCTCTAGCCGTCTCGACGTAGAAATCAGTCTGGGTCTATTTAAAATATAATCCAGGTCATGACCTATGACCCTCCATCTCACCTAAACTGACTTCCTATAACTTTGACCATAGAACCTGAGCCTTTGCCATGGCTTCAAACCCCCACACAATCTGTCTCCTGCCACCTCTCTGATCAACTATTAGACCATTCTTCCTCCTTGCTTACTGTGTTTGTGCCACACTGACTTTTCTGGGTCTCAGACATGCTACACTCATTCCTGCCTCAGGACCTTTGCATTTGCTGTCCACTCTGCCTGGAACATTCTTCCTCCACATCTTTGCATGGCTAGCTCCTTTATGCCTTTCAGGCCCGGGAAAAGCCTTCCTGACCACATATTCTTTCATCTCACCCTCTTTTATTCAAGTCATAGCACTCATTAGTACTTGATACTCTCTTATTTATTTTCTGCCTGCCCCATGAGGCTGTAAGGTTCTTGAGAGTAATGGCCTTATCTGTCTTATTTGTCACTGTATCCCAGAACTTGGTGTAGTGTCAGACTCATGAGAGGTGCTCAGAATGAATGTGTGTAAGAGTGAATGATAGTGAAGAAGGCAGATGTCAAATTTTAAGAATGACAGCTTCAAAGAACACTAATTACCACTTATGTGCAATTTACTATGTGTCAGACACCGTTCTACTTTATGTATGCAGTAGGTACTTTGTGTATATGTGCTTATTTAATCTTAGTAATACTGCAAGGTCCTCTCTGTGATTTTCTCCATTTTACAGAGGAAGAAACTGACACACAGCAAGGTGTACTGACTTTTCCACAGCTAATAAATAGTAGAGCCACTTGAACCCTAGCCCTATACTGAAAACATAGCATCCCAGGAGTGACAGCCAGAGATCCAATTCAGACCGGGGGTTCAAGGGCGGCTTCTTATCACAAAAAGCCTATGAGTTAGGTATGATGCCCATTTTTTAGGTGAGGAAACTGAGTCTCCGTTGAAGGAAGTTTGTCCAGGACTATGCCACTGAGAAATGATAGCCAGGACTTGAGCTCAAGCCCAGAGGCCTGTCATTTGCACCACGAAGAGTGTCAAGCCAAGAGCTCCAGAGGGTCTGGGGAACAGGGCTTCCCTTTATTTTCCTTCCACTTTGGCAGCTCCTGGGTCCCTTGTGCACTGTTTCCCCTTCTCATCTCACAGGCCATCCTGTTCATACCATCCCCTTCCACACTGCTGCCCTGATTCAGGCCTGTCTCTGTGGACAGTGCGCAAGGTCAGCTCCTGAGAGAAAATGAAGCTGCCTTTGCCCTCTTTATTGGGTGATCAGGGACAGAGCCAACCCTCCCTGGCTCTACAGGTCTGATAGGGAGGGGCCGAGAGCTCGAAGACAGGTGGCATGCTCCCTTCTGCCAGCACAGAAGGTCCTGAGGGCTTCATCAGGCTGGAGCAGAGGGGTGCTGGCGTCCACTAAGGGACCAGCCAGACAGAGGGGCTCGTGTGCGTGCTCTCCTGGGCATGGCAAACTCAGTTGCTTCCCCTTCTTGTCATAGGCCAGGAGAAAGCAGCTCTAAACCGAGAATACTGGCCCACAGCTCCCTGGTGCCTGGGTGCTCATGATTGGAGAAAGGGAGGGCTGCCTTATTGTCCTATTTTTTTCCCTGCCAACCCATCAAAAACATGTTTGGATCTAAGATTTTGTGCAGTTTATTCCCTCCTCAATATGAACACAAAGATATTAAAGAAAAAAAGGCTCTATTTTTAGAAGGACCATGTGATTTAATTTTATACATGTGTGTATACTTATAGCTCTATATATTTTCCCCATTTTTGTTCTAGGCGTGTTTCTGTTCTTAACCACGTGACTAAGTAACAACCTAATAGAACTTGTCTAAATGAGATTGCATCACCTCGTGTGATGGGACAGTGGAGAAAAAGCACCTTCTTGTCCAATTTAAACTCCACCCTCCATTTCCTCCTATGTCAAATGGGGATAATCGTACCTATATTATTATTGCGGGGGTTAAATGAGGGGTCATGGTAACTGTAAGGCTTTCCACAATGGCTGTGCATTATTCATACAGAGATTCTTTAGGGGAAAGGGTATGTCCTTAGCATATTTGTGAAGTGGTCACCCTGAGAAGAGTAAAGTTATGCTAATAGGAATTTCGACAGATGGCAGAAGCACTCTGGGCTCCTGCTAAATGAGAGGCTGTCTACAGGTGATCCCCTATAATCTTGGTAGATAACCATACTATATTATTATTTTCTATGACTCATGAAGGAACTGAGGCTCAGGTCGAAGATGTGGTCACCTCCATGGATATCTTGGCTTTGCCCCTTGCTCTCTGTGGGACCACAGACAAGTTGCCCAACTTCTCTGAGCCTCAGTTTCCTTCTTGCTAAAACGTATCCGTGGTTGGCACAAAGAGCAGGTCATAGGTATGGCCAGCCCCACTCTTCTTCCCTGTGCAGAAGTATGTTGGGTGGTGTGAGATGGCATGTAGCTTTTCTCTTGTAGCATCTCTTCGAGGGACAGCAATCGGTTTTGGGGTAGGCCACACTAACTCAAAATAGACTCCCCGGTACTAATGATGGCAGAAACCCCACACAGCAGTACTATAATGGGAGGGAGGTCCCTGGCAATGACCTTTGACTCAGGTAACTGAGTCCAGGGAGGAGAAGCAGCTGTGTTCTTTGCTCCCCCCACCCCCAATCTGCCTAAGCACCAGGAAGCCAAGCGCTCTGCCCACAAGCATTAGAACGGTCAGAGCACCCAGACTGTGGTCAAAAAGATATTTGTAGGATAGAATTACCATCCTGGTCTAAGACCGTTTGGGGATGAGCTGGATGTTCTCATCTTTACTATAGGAAACAGAAAGGTGCTCATTTTCCTGTGTGCAGATGCTATGGTTCTCAATATCTTTGGCTGGACAAACTTTAATGATAAGCTGTGGTCCAACTTAATGACAGAAAGAAGAGCTGCAGATGGCCTGTTTTAAAATCAAAACTCAAAAAAAAAAAAAAAAGCTCTGGCCAGGAATTTTCATCCCCTGCCCCTAAATATGATTCGTCAATGTTCAGTTCTGGTTGTGGTTCTCAAAGTGTGGGCCCAAAGCCAGCAGCATGAGTATCACCTGGAAGCCTTTTGGAAATGCAGATTCTTAGCCCTACCCCCAGCATTTGTATCTGCATAAGTTGGGGGATGAGAAGGGGAGGTGTTGTGCTTGTGGAAGCTTGTGGACCACTGCTTGTCCTCTCCTTCAGAATCCTTCCCTTGGCATTCCTCCTATTACAAGGTGCCTTAGCCCTCACTGCATGGTGGGAATGTCAGTACGTTCTGTACCAGGGTTTTTATTTGCCGGAGACTTACATTGTTCAAAGCCACAGGTTTTGTGGCCCCTGCTACCGTTTTTTTCGTGGCCAAAGTGGCTGTTTGGTTGAATTTCCAAGCCCGGAGTCGTTATGGACATGCCTGGTGGTGCAGGACTGTGGCTCTTCAATCACCCATTTATCATTGTTTTAAGACTAGACCCCAGAATCTGCTTTCAAGAGCATCAGCCTGGCCACCAGACATTCTGTCTGCCCTATCCTGGTTTTGGAATGGGCCCCTGTATTTTTCCTAAGAGATTACCATCATACTCTCAGCCCGTTGCCTGTTGGTTCTGAAGAACTCATCTGTGTTATCCTGGGACACTGCCTCAGGCTGCTGACCGAACTTCCTTCTCTGCACAGGCCTGTGGAAGGCTGGAGAGGCTGTCTGTGTCCCCATCCGCAGCAAGTGGCCAAGCCCGTTTACCTGGCACCGTTGGTCCTCATTTCTTGGTTTTATATTCTTTTCCTTCCATTGTTTTCCCTCTGTCCTTATTTTCTCAACTACGGACACTTACCTTGTCTTTTATGGATCTTTAATGACTGCCTTGATTCGTTTTGGAAGGAAACCATTTCAAGAAATAAACCGGAATACTTTCTGTGATGAGCTACGGTGGGTATGAAACAATTAGCATTAAATCGGGGAGGTCCTTTAAGTGGCCACGGGCACCCGAGTGGGTCTGATTCCAAACCCCATGCACCCTCATGTTATCATTGGGGCAGGCATTCCTGCCCCACAAAACCACAAAACCACAAAACCAACGTGACCGAGAGTTAGACAACCAAATGAAGGAGACTCAGACTGAACAGAAGGTCCTTTAGCAGGTGGTAAGTCTTCCTGCTCTAAAATATATTCATAAATCAACAACTCCAGAAGTGGAGTAATGAAAATTGTGGCCTGAACACTCTCCTCACAAGGTTAGGAATGCCCTAGAAACACGTGAAGAACCTGTCTCATTTCCGCAGTAGTGGATGCGATACACGTCTGTTGCCTGAGTGATAAACTTTCCTTAGTTTACTTTGTAATTTAAAGCCCAAATGTGCTTTCAAAAGTAGATGCCCAAGGTTCTTGTAGATACCCCTACTTCTGAATGAACTAGAACTCAAGTTGCCTTGGGTACTGTGCTCCGTGAAGTCACCATAGGGGTCTCATTTGCTGAGTGCATGCCCTTGAGCTCACGGCAAGTGGAAAGCCCAGCACTGTGCCGGGCCCTTAAGAGACTTTTTACTTTTTCTCTAATCTCTACAAGTCTAAGAAAGGCAGGATTGAAGTTTTCTCTTGTGCAGTGCTAGATATTAATCCCATCTTTCAGTTGGATAAGAATTTGAAACATGCTGGAACTTTTAAAAATGTGAGCCTGAAAACGGGTGCTGAGCAGACTTATGTTAAAGCGGGGCTTTATTGTTCTTGCCGAATCCCTGCTGCTTGAGAATCAAGTGTGGTAACAGATCTGAAAGCACTTTGTACTATTACACTTTTGTACAATGTAAGAGACAATTCCTTAAATGGCATTTCAGTGGCTCGACAACTATAAGGGTCTCTAATTAATAGGGAATTGTGTTTGAGCTATTGTCTAAAATTAGAGAATTTAGAAGTTATCTTCGTTACATTGGGGCAGAAGTTCTTCCAGAAGTCTGCTGGAATTAGAGCAGTGGGTGTCAGAAATGGACCTTTACATCAACGAAACACAGGTAAATGGGGTGCAAAGAGGGCCCATTAGCACCTAGTTAAGTCTCTTGGATCTGAGCGGTATGTAAAGTCTGTTTAGGTCCCATTCTTAGAAATGCTGTAATGAGAAGGATGGAGGTGAAATGTGTTTCTCCAGTGATTGACATAGAACTTTCTGGGGTGATGCCCTAATTATTGTATTAATGGAAGGAAGTAAGGCTGTTCTTGATGTGGAGTATTTCTCCAAAAACATCTTGTCTCCTGCTGCCTGGTTGCTGCTTCTTGCTTTAATTGGCCAGATGTCTTCCTCTCTCCCACATCCCTGGGCTTTTCCACCAATGGGGAACTGCCATGGATCTGTCCCCTCTAAACAGGGACTCTTGGTCAGGTACCCTGATGTTACCCTGGTAGCCCAGTGCCTCTCCTGAGCTCAGGTACACAGAGCAGGGGGCTTCTGCACTTGGATCCCTCAAGCCTGTTTCTTGGGCTTATTCCAGATCCTTGAACATGTACGGGAGAGTCTCGCCTAGTCTTCAAGAGGTGCTAAAACAGATATCCTCACACAGGAAAACAAAACAAAACAAAAACCCCACCAAACCTTGTCTAGCCTTGAGAAAAAAATAAACCCTGAAACCGGCCTCCTCTCGGTGCATGTCACCATTGGGAAGCAATGTCCTCTTGGGGCATTTGTAGCTTTCAGAAAGCCTTTGCTTCCCAGTGACCTGGCGATGGCTCTTCTGGGTCTTCTTCTAAATTCATTTCATTTTTGTTTGATTCTGTTTTAATTCACTTCGTCTTGAAGTAAATATACCATCACCCCTGCTCACAGGCTCATCTGGGTAAAGAATGTCTCATTGTGAGTTAGTGGTTACAAACTATGCTTAATTAATCCTTCAGTTACAGCTGAAGGCAAAGCTAAGGATCAGGCAGGCTCTCGGGTTTTCCTCCCTGCTGCTTTAAAACCCTCCTTACCCAGCTCTTGAGAAGGACTGTGGAAATCGTGGGTGGGGGACTAGCGATTCCACTGCCCTTTTTTTTTTTTTTTTTTTTTTGCTATGGCTGAACAGATCCACTGGTGCACCAAGCAGGTGAGATTATGGAGGGAAAGCCCAGGGATTTTCTATGGGGTAGGCATTTTCTCATCCCCTTCAACACAAGCGAATCGAGAATGAATGTCAGAATTTTACTTGGAAACAGAGGCCTTCAAATTTATGTCATTAAAAATAAAAAATCTTTTGCTTTTTGAATTTCACACTGAGGGTAATGACTGTGTGTCTTTGTTTTCTCCCCGCCCCGGCTGTGGGCACGTAGCACGTGTGGAGCGAGAGCGAGGACTGCCTGCCTTTCTTGCAGCTAGCCCAGGATTACATCTCCTCCTGCGGCAAGAAGACGCTTCACGAAGTCTTGGAAAAAGTCTTCAAGTCTTTCAGACCTGTAGGTGCCTGCCTGGTTTTGCAAAACCACCTTGTTTTCTGCTGTGATTGTGCTGGGGATGACAGGGATGCTGGGGAAAGTGGGCAAAACCTGGGATGACTAATTGTTTTTCTCTTGTCTGCTTTGTGGCTTAAAGATAGCAGCTAGTGGAAGGAGGGAGAAGGCGGGGAAGGAGGGGGGAAACGGGATGTGACACAGCTGTTTGTTGGAGGAATGATGGTTATTTCTAGCATCACTTGAGTTGAGAATCTCTGACAGGGTGGGGAACAGACAGAGCCTTGACAAGACTTCTGAGTATTCCTGCTTTTGTCCGGTAGACTTAAGGCCAGAATGCTTGGAAGCACCGTGGGGGTTCTCTTACCATAGTGAGGCCTGTATCTGGGGAGCTGTTGGAAGGCTATACGCGGGACAGGCGTCCATGTCTGTGGGTACGGAGAGGGATGAAATTGGATACTGGTTGTATTCTTTTCTCTTTTAAAAACTCTCTGTTAGAGAGCTTGCTTTCTGCCTACCACCCCCCACCTCACCACCTCTGACGCCCCAATGTAGGATTTAGGAATCTATCTGGGGCTAGCTGGCAGTTCGTCTTCATTCTAGCTAAAAACAGGTAAAGTAATTTCTCACCCCTATTTTGAAGATTCCCTTTATCTTTACTGGAAGGTGAAGTCACATGGCCGGTGTCAGGACACTCCCCCTCACCGAGTTCTGTTCCCTGCCCACCATAAATTCTCTAAACCATCAATGATATTTGCTCTAGAATTTTTTTTCAGATCTTTTAAAAGAGTATCTACTTTTCTGTTGTTGTTTTCAAGCTCGCCCTTCAGGGCTATGAGCAAAGTGGGCATGATTGCATGGTTGTGTAAGAGACTATGTCTGACGTTCCCATATTTTAAGGTGTGTAAGTCTTGTTTTGTCATCTTTTGTTTCAACCAGCTCTCACTCTTGGTATCTGGTTTCTTTGTGTGTTGGATTATCTCTGTGTGCTGGTTACAGTATTTGAAAATGGGTATTTAGGAGTGAATCGAGGCCTGAGATGATGGTAACTTCTTCCAGAGAGGATTTTTGATCTGTTTCTGCTGGGGCTCCAGAGGGCCTATCAGCCTGAGACCACCTGCAAACAATTTAAGACTGATGGTTCTTAGAACTCTCCAGATCATGAAAAGCCAGCCTGTCCATCTGCTTTCGTCTCGTTCACCCGCATCCTGAGAGCTGTCTTAGTCCATTCAGGCTGCTGTAACAAAATATCAGAGACTGAGTGGCTTCTAAACAACAGACATTGATTTCTCACAGGTGCGGAGGCTAGGAAGTCCAAGATCAAGGTGACAGTAGATTCGATGTTTAGGAAGGGCCCATTCCATGGACAGACAGCTGTTTTATCGCTGTAACCTCACATGGTGGAAGGAGAAGGAGATGTCTCTGGGGCATGTTTTATGAGAACACCAATCCCATTCATGTGGGCTCCACATTCATGACCTAATCACCTCCCAAAGACCCCACCTCCTAATACTGTCCCCTCAAGGGTTAGGATTTTAATATGTGAATTTTGGAGGGATACAAACACTCAGACAATAAGAGGTCTTTGGGATCTCAGTTTCAAGTGGGGATAGCTTATCACGGTCTTGCTCCTTTGGAAGACGCTGGGTTTGACTTTGGTCCCCTGAGCTCTTAGAGTAGGCCAGGAACACAATAAAGTTTCTAGCTGTTTCTTTCTAGGTCAACAGATGCCCTCAGGTCAAAAGTAGCTTTTTATGTTTACCTCTCAAGATTCTTAATCTTCAGTATATTTAAGAAGGCATTTTTCACATTTAATCCAGCTCTTTTAGTTCTCTGAGGAAGAGTTGGTCCCAGTCACTCAATCCACCATTGCAAGGAATAGAATTTCAGTAGCTTTTCTCACTCTCTCTGATCTGTTTCATTTGTCCAGCCAATTCGTTTTTTCCTACTTAATTTTTTAAGCCTGCTTGGCTCATTCAGAACAGACTCATGACTGCAAAGTACTGATCTATCCCTCATTCATTCTGTATATATTACGAGTACCCGACTACGCTTTTCCTAACACTTAATTCAAACAGATGGAAATCTTATCCTTATATACTAGTGGCGGTGGAAGGGGTGGGGACAAGGTAGATGAGTCTGGCACATAAAGTATTAGTGATAAGTGCCAAGGAGAAAAAAATAGGTAAGTCAGGGTAAGGAAGTAAGAAGTGTCAGAGGTACTGGAATTTTTTGTTAGGAGACCAAAGGAAGCTTCACTAAGTTCACATTTGAGTACAACTTGAGGTGTGAATCAGGAGGAGATCCAGGGAAGAGCTTTCCAGATAGAGACAACAGCAAATACAAAGGCCAGGAAGGGGGTGGGAGGGGGTGGGGAGAAGACTATCAGTGTCAGGGAGCAAGGAGGGGCAGATGTGGCACAAGTGGAGGGGTGGTAGGGAGGAGCGAGAGAGGAACCTAAGGAATTTCAAGAGTTTGTGGGGAACAGAAGGGTTTGGGTTTTCTTCCTGTGTGACGGGGAGCTGTCGGAGGAGTTTGAGTGCAAAAGGATCCGACTTGGGGAGCCTGGTTGGCTCAGTGGGTTAAGCCTCTGCCTTTGCCTCAGGTCATGATCTCAGGGTCCTGGGATTGAGTCCCATGTCGGGCTCCTTGATCAAGCAGGGAGTCTGCTTCTCTTTCTCCCTCTGCCCTTTCCTCTGCTCCCTTTCCTCTCAAATAAAGAAATAAAATCTAAAAACAAACAAAAAAACCCCCAAAACACAGATGTATCTAACTTCACATTTTGAAAAGCTCCTCCCTGACCAGTTAAGACCTCCTCCTCCTGGGAGCAGGAGGACCAGTGCAGAGGCCGTTGGGTCACACAGGTGAGAGGATGAGGGTCATAGTGAGGGCCGAATGAAGGGGTCAGCTTCTGGGCTTGCTGGTGGACCACAAGTGGGGAGGGAGAAAAAGAAGGCAAGGATGATCCAGAGTTCATTGCCCATACAATGAAGGGAATGGCGCTGTCCTTTACTGAGGAGGGGGAGGCTGTATTGGGCAGATGACCAATACTACCAGGAGCTTGGTTTGGGGCATGCCAGTGTCAGAAATGCCTATTAGACATCCAAGCAGAAATATCAAAGTAGACAAATTTTTTTAAAAATTAAACCCCCCCAGGGGTGCCTTGGTGGCTCAGTCGATGAAGCGTCCCACTTGACTTTGGCTCAGGTCATGATCTTGTTGTTGTTGAGTTGGAGCCCCGCGGGGTCAGGCTCTGAGCTCAGAGGGGTTTCGGCTTCAGATTCTCTCTCCTTCTCCCTCTTGCTCACTCTCTCTCTCAAATAAATAAATAAAATATTAAAAAAAATTTTGACCCCCTCAAGTATTAGCTAAAAAAAAAACAAACAAACAAATCTATTCGCCAGTGAAATTCACTATGCAGCGAGTGTCCTCACAGGGCTTACATTCGTGGCCTGCTGCCTGGTTTTCTTCCTGCGCCCCTTCTCCTGGATGACAAACACAATTCCTGTAGAATTGGCTTCGCCGGAGAAGGCGAGCTCCCGCCAGAACTCGTTTTACTGTTTTACTTTACCAGGAAGACCTGGTCGCATCTCGGCAACCAGGCAGCCAGTTGTAAAGGGAAAGAAACAAATGCGGTCCAAGAAAATCCAGGTGCGCAGCTGAATGCAAGTGGGTCATTTGAACATTTTCTTTCTGATTTTGCTGCCGCGTGTCCCAGAGACCACAGACTTGATCTGATGTCGGACTTCAGGGTCCCCTTTTAAAGCAGAGCCTGACATCCTAGGCAGGGCTGTGCTCCCAAGGACAGGAAGCCCTGGTACAGCGCCCCTTTGGTGGGAAAGTTGATGTGTGCCTGGGCTTTTTTGCCCCTGGAGGAGAGGCAGGTGGGAGGTACCTTCTCAGGGTCGGGGAAAGGAAGTACACACAGGGCTTTGGGTTTCCATCAGCCAGGACGTGTCCCAGGTTGGGTGATTCGAGGAGTGTGATGTACTACACCGAGGGGCTACTGGATGTCCACAGGAAACTTTCTCTTCTCCCCTCCACTCACAGATGTGGTCCTTCCCACTGTTGCTATTTATCTGTCAGTTTCCTATAAAGGAGTTTTGCGTTTAGAAATAAGACACAGCAGGGCGCCTGGGTGGCTCAGTCTATTAAGCGGCTGCCTTTGGCTCAGGTCCTGGGATCGAGTACTGCATCCAGCTCCCTGCTCAATGGGAAGCCTGCTTCTCCCTCTCCCACTCCCCCTGCTCATGCTTTCTTTCTCGTTCTCAAATAAATAAATATATATATTTTTTTTTAAAAGAAAAAGACCCAGTCCAAGGACTGGCCCAACTTTGCACACAGTGCTTGTCCCCCTTCTCTCGTGTGTGTCTCCCCCAACCAAAACTGGCAGTATCCTAGAGTCCTCCCCCAACACATAAAGAAATCCGTTACTGGATCTGAAAAGCAAAAAATTTTTTTCTTTTTCTCCATCTCACTCCTCCTGTTTTCTTTCTCTTTCTTCGTCACATTTTCAACAAAATATATTGATCATTTGCTGTTTGCCAAACACAACTTTGGAGAGTGAGGGGCAGAATACAGTGTCAGCTTTCGCCCTCGAGGAGCTGACTTGCTGATAGGAGAGATAGCCATGAAAATGTATGTGTCACAAGGCAGAGCACTTATTTCGATCCAGACAGTCTCCTAGATACTGGGCAGAGCAAGCAAAGGAGTTCCATTCCCCACTGTGCTTACTCCACTTTCGGGAAATATTTCCTAAGAGGACGTTAGTGACCACATACTGCGGAGTGTTATTTATGGACTCTACCCAGTTATGTAGGCTCAGGATACTACATGTTGAGAAACCCATGCTTTGTGGGCAGGCCACTGAGGCACGTGCTGGCTGTGTGACCTTAGCCAAGTTACTTCTCTGTTTCTTAATGATGATAGTTACCTCAGGGATCTATGACGATTAAGCGATATAGTTCTTGTGGGGTACTTAGTACAACACATTACACAGGACGAGC